ACTTATTTTCAAACTTTATCAATTGATATTAAATCTTGTGCTGTCTGTCTTCTGGGGCTTGCTTTGTCCATTCAACATTATGTTATTAAAATCTGGTCATTGCGTTGCATTACTCTATTGTTAATTTCTATTTGAATAATTAATAGAAGCAAACCAGGTAAAGAGTGAGTAGAAGAGTACTTCATGTGAAAGAATAGCATGTGTTAAGGTCCTGAGTTGGGCAAAAGCACGCCAATCTTGAGGAACTATAGAAAGGAACATGAGTGACTCTGGAGCACTGAGACTTGAGGGAAGAGTAATTGAAGATGAGTTTGGAGCAGCAGCCCAGGGAGGGACTACAAATTGCCTTTTAAATCATAGTGAGGATCTGGGCTTTTTAAGTGCAATGGAAGTCGTTAGGCAGAGGAATAACATGCTCTGGTTGGCCAATTTTAAAAGATTAATCTGGCTACTCAAAGAATAGATTGAGAAGAGGTAGCAAGAATCCAATCTTGAGGTGGGTGTTATTATTGTCCCCACTTTACAGATAAGAAAACTAAGGTTCAGAGAGAATCTATATATGTATCTAGAGTTCAGAGAGGTTTGGTTTTGAGACAGATCTAGGTATTCATCAGCTTATAGTCAGAGCTACAGAACTGAATGAGATCACCCTAGGGAGAGAGCATAGATAGAAAAGAAAAGAGGGTTAAGGAGATGGCTTGAGGTACTCTAATATATAGACTTAGTTAGAGGAGGAGAAAAGGAGACTAAAAAGGAGAAGTCAGTGAGGCAAGAGTAAAATCATGGAAGTATTTTTGCCAAGAGAAAAAAAAATGCTTCACAAAAACAACAGCGGTCAACTATGCCAAAAAAAGGTAAAGCAAATTAAGAACTGAAAAGTCGCCACTTGATTTAGTAACATGGAGATGATCACTCTCTACTTCCTTAGCCACCTTAGGATGTGCACAGAGGAGCTTGAAAGAAGTATTATTATTGTCTCCTGTATTTTTGTATTTTGTATTTTGAAGAAGCTAGAGCTCAAAGGAATTAGGTAACTTGCCACAAGCAAAACAGCTACGCAATGACAAATTTAGAAATGGAAGTCTCCTCATTCCAAATCCAGTCTTCTTTCCATGGCATCACAGCTACTTTTCATATCTGGGAGGCTTTTTGGTTTGCTACATGAATGACTGAGGTTACATGTGTAGTGCAGAACTGAATTCATTCCAATATGCCTTGAGTGTCTATTATGTACAAAACTCTGAGGTAGTCATTGCAAAAGATTTGAAAATGAAAAAGACACAGACCATATTCCCAAGGAGCTTGTACAGTCCAGTAAGATAGCATCTATACAACTGTATCCTAAGACAATGTGGAAGTAATGGAAGCATAGAGAAGTGAGGATTTGGATCAGGTCTGGACCAATGACTTGGTTGGGGCGAGCTTGTTCATCTTCTTATTTACTGCTACATACTCACTGTATGTCTGGTAGAAAAATAAGTTCAATAAATACTTGTTATAAAAAGTATTGAGCTTCAACTTTTTTCCAGGCACATAGTGATTATAGCAGTAAATAAGTAGACTCTAGCTAGAATAATTAATAAAAGTTAAAAAAAATAGGGGACTAGGGAACTTATTGAAAGGATAGTGGGCTATCTCACAGGGTTAAGGGAAGAGCTGACTCAGAAACAGCAGGAACCAGGTTAGATCTGGGTACAAAAGCAGTGTACATTTATGGATCTTCTCTCCACTTTAAAGTGACTCCCTACCCCCCAGTAATCCCAATCTCTGTTTCAACTCAAAATGTCATGTTCCTGGGAGAGAGAAACTAGTTGAGTCAGGGATATTTCCCTGGAATAAGTTACGATGGTCATTAAGGAAGGTTCACATATCACAGACACCAGACATGGCCATTACGGGACAACCCATGGTTTCAAACCAATTCCAAAGAGGTAAATCCTTGTTAATTGGACATCAATCTCCATCCCAAGTGTTCTCTACTAAAATCTAACATCAAGAAGAATGAAATTAAGGGAATGTGTTCACTCTCCCAGAAGATTGATATTGTAAGCCTTTTCCCATCATAAGAACTTTCTGACATCAGTGAGCTGACCATAGGGAACTGACAGAACTTCTGAGATGGAAGGAGCCTTTGGTAACCATTAATTCAACTTCCTTATTGTGCAATGAGGAATATGAAGCCCTTGCATGCAGTCTTACATGTATTCACACAGCAAATAAGTGGTAGTACTGGGTATAAAGGAAACTTCTGACCTTTGATCCTGTGGGTCCTTTCTCTGCCTACGCTCTACAGTGCTTAGCACTGTGCTGAGAACATAACTATAGAATCTTTCAAATCTCCCTGGGGTATTGTGCTCAGGTATAGGTAGCAACATAGCAAGAGGTATCTATCATCCATGGTCAGAAGTCTAGAGAATTGGGCCGAGCTGAAGTAGCTTCTATGAACAGACATAGCTGAGGTTAGACCACATGATGGATAAGCAATCAAGGATGTGTCAATGACAGCTTAAGACAGGGCTAAAAGACAGGATTCTTTTCCTCCTGAGTTTTCTATTCCTGAAGCTAAACAGCCCTAGCTCCTTCCACTAGAAAAGGGAAATGGCTGCCTCATATGACCTTGCATAAAAGTCACAGCTTACAGAATTGCTCAAATCATCCTTCTTCCTTTATGTAACCAATGAGTCTATTTTCAGCTGCTCCCCTTCCTCTTTAACCAATTAACATCCAGCAAACTGGGTTGTCTGCTCTTCCCAATATCATGATTGATTATAAGTTTAGTTTAAGAAATAGGTATAGTATGTGGTGGGAAAGTGTGTATATCTGGAGCTGTACTACCTTGGTTCAATTCCTAGGTTTCACCATTTCCTAGGGGTGTGATTTTTGGCAAGTCACTCTTTCCCTGGGCTTTTGTTTTCTCACCTGTAAAATGAGGATAATAATAATAATGTCTACTTCATAGGGAGGTTGTGGGAATCCAATGAGTTAATAATACATCTTGGGGGTACAAGAGAGCATATACAGATAATCTGATCCCAAAAAAGGAACACATCTAAAGACAAAGATTCTATTAATTCAGATGAACCAGCCCCTCAAGAACTATGCTCCCTAGCACTGACTTGACAAAACTAAGAACACTTAACCCTCAGCAATCAGCTGCAAACCCTAAAAGCCAACCTAAAAGCATACTACTACTGCTCCAACTACCATTGCTAACAGCTCAGAGACAAGGTATCCAGATGTTCTAAGAGAATACATGGGGCCAGTGGTTCACAACAGGTGTAATTCTCTGCTGCCTTTTTTGTTTGTTTGTTTTTATAAATTTATTTATTTATTTATGGCTGCATTGGGTCTTCATTGCTGCACATGCGCTTTCTCTAGTTGTGGCAAGCAGAGGCTACTCTTCGTTGTGGTGCACTGGCTTCTCATTGCAGTGGCTTCTCTTGTTGCAGAGCACAGGCTCTAGGCGCACAGGCTTCAGTAGTTGTGGCGTGTGGGTTCAGTACTTGTGGCTTGTGGACTCTAGAGCGCAGGCTCAGTTGTTGTGGCACACGGGCTTTGTTGTTCCACAGCACGTGGGATCTTCCCGGACCAGGGCTCGAACCCATGTCCCCTGCATTGGCAGGCAGATTCTTAACCACTGTACCACCAGGGAAGTCCTGTTTGTTGTTTAAAAACAGATAACATCCAGATAGATACAAGAAGAAATTGCCGGGCTTCCCTGGTGGCGCAGTGGTTGAGAGTCCGCCTGCCGATGCAGGCGATACGGGTTCGTGCCCCGGTCTGGGAGGATCCCGCATGCCGCGGAGCCGCTGGACCCATGAGCCATGGCCACTGAGCCTGCGCATTCAGAGCCTGTGCTCCGCAACAGGAGAGGCCACAACAGTGAGAGGCCCGCGTACCGCAAAAAAAAAGAAGAAGAAGAAATTGCCTTCAATTGTTCTTTCAACAAATATTAACTGAGCTCCTACTATACGGCAGCCACTGTTCAGTGTGCTGAGGACAGAGCAGAGAACAAAATAAATGAAGTCCCTGCTCTTACTGAGCTTATACTCTAGTGGGAAATACATTTTACCACAGAAGCAAACACACATCTAAGATTGTTTTAGATTGTGATCAGTGCTGTGATAAAATAAAAAGGGATTAGGTCACAGAGAGTGCCTGGGCCATCTGAGCTACTTTAATCTCCCTTTCCTGCGATCTGAAGGATATAGGGGCCCACCATGGGTACAACCAGATAGAAAGAAAAGGAAGTGCAGAGTCCCTGAGGTCGGACAGATCTTAGCATATTGTAATAAAAAGGAGATCAGTGTTGCTAGAGGAGAGTGAACAAGGTTTTTATAAATCAAGTCAAAGAGGCTGGATCTATTGATGGTGGTGTCTTGGACTAGGAAATGGTGAGAGATTCTGGACAAATTTTAAAGACAGGGCCAATAGGATTTTTTGAAGAACTGTATGTGAAACATGAGAGAAAAAGAGGATTCAAGGGTGGCTCCAAGATTTTTGGCCCGAACAACCAGGTGTTCCCATTAACTGGAATGGAGAATGGAATTAACTATGATTTCTGATGGGTCATTCTGGATTTCCACTAATAGCTGTGGATGGGACCTCAGGGCCCTTCTCCAACTTTGAGCAGCCTAGTTATGGAGTGGGGTGCTGGCATAGGACTGTTGTTTTGGGTGAGAGGAATGAAGCACATTTCTGGGAATCCCCACATTCTCTTCCCCGATTCTATTCATAAACCTGGAGATTTACACAATGAGAGATAGAGAAGACTGAGCACATCGGGCCAGGCAAAACGGAGGGGCCCCAGGAACAGGAAATCTGCTGTAGCCACTTCAGTACAGAAACTGTACGAGAGTGGGCAGCGCCAATGAGGGCGCTGCAGGAACTTTCTTGGCGATCTGGCAGCCTAGGGAACCACTTTTTACCATAAACAAAGTAAAGAAAAGAGATGGGGTGGGGTTTGGTGGCCTAGCCGGCCGGAAGGAATTCGGGTGGAGCCGACTGTGCAAGCTTCGGGGCAGAGGGGGAGAGGAGGCCGCCACTAGCAACTAACCTCAGCTTCTTAAACTCAACAGAAAGGTCGGAGGGGTTGTTGGAAGTGCCAGGAACCCCGTGATTCTCTCTGCCCGCCAAAGAGAGATGAAAACCCAAGTTGTGCGGTGCAGCTTTAAAGGGGCTGGTGATTGACAGAATGTGTAGCAGTGGATGGGGTGGAGCCGCTGGGTGGGGTCTGGGACAGGCAGCTGGGAGAAACCAAAAGGAAGAAAAAAGAAAACCATAGCCCCTGATATCGCTAATGCCAGGCGGGAGAAGCTAGCCAGAAAGGGAGGACAAGAGGGTTTTAGAGCTCACCTCCATTCCTACCCCGATCGACTCTCTCAAACCCTTCTGTCTCCTTTTGAGATAATTAAAATCGAGTGTACACCGCCCCTAGTCGGTGCCCATTCACCCTAACTCTCCACTGAACTAGGTTTGTAGTACGAGGGAGTGAGGACCCCGAGTCCACCAGCTCAACCCCGGCCCCGCCCCGTCGGCCTGGCCCGGGGCTGGGAGGAGAGGATGCCTTTGGAGGCGCAGAATCCGAAAGTAAGTCCCTTTCATTTTGCCTCCTCACCCCTCCCCTTCCTTTTGCCACCCTCACTGGGGTCTCCGCTGGCGGGGGGTAAAGAGCCACCTTACAGAAAGAGACTCTTTCAAGAAGGATCCGGAGGGTGGGTCAGGGTAGGGTGGGGTAAGAAAAGGAGGGGAGCGGAGGAGGGGTGGTGCTTTAAAGCCTAGGGGAGCTGCCACCCACGGGATAGGTACTCTCAGAGTTTGCTGATTGTATGATTAGAGCCTTGATTTCCTCTCCTGTCCTTAGAGCCTTGACTTATCCCTTCCAGGCGTCCTTTCTTTTTCTCACCCTCCAGCATCCCTATCTGGCTGCTTAAAGCTTCTAACCGTAAGCTGGGAAGGCTCCATCTTGCCTGGCTTCTTAAAGGGACAGTGCACTAGTTCAACTGTGGGAAATAGATCCTGGAAATTAGATTTTGAGAAGGATGGCACTGACTCACCTTACTATGACAATACATGTGTTGGGGGAATTTGTACAGAGAGGACAGTTTTTCTCCCTCATACCAGCCTCCAAACTTGTTCTAATATCCAGTTGATTCTCAGGAGGTGCATCCTGGGCAATGTTGCCAAGTTGCACATTAGTTAACTGAAGAGTCAATAGGCTCTGCAGTTATAGCTCAAGAGGAAAATTTCTGTTTCCTGAGAGGTGCCATGGCATTGCAGAAGATTTGGAAAAAATAATTTATTCTACAAATATTTATCGAGTGCCGGATTCATTGCCTGTGGCTGATCTCACTGCTGAGTGTCTGTAATATATCAAGACCATGTAGAGTGGTGTTTCCTTTCTTAACAGATTGACGGCCAAGGTTTCTTCCTAGAGATGAGTGTTGAATTTGATTCCAACATTTACCAAGTATGTGTCACGTGAAAGTTCCCACTGTTCATCTTTATTGTCTTTTCTTTAGTACCACATCCATAGACCCAAGCCCAAGTGACTGGGAGATCCAGCTGGAAGAGATAGGAGCTCAAGTCAAAATGGCATGCAAAGAAAGAAGGGCAGGATGCTTCAATAGGGAAGCCAAGGCCACCTTGGCTAATATGTCATTCACATGTCCATGTACAGTCTGGAAGATTGTATTGGGGAGGAGGGCTTCACCAGCTCCCTTCTGCCGTTAAATAAAAGAACTGGTGTGGTGGAAATTTGTTAGAAGGCCTCATACAGATCAGTGGCATCTCTTCCAAGTTTATTTTTCTCATGTTTCTGCTTCTGGAGGGTGGCAGGTCTGGATGGAGCCTAATGATATCCCACAGGTCAAAGAGATGAAAACATGTTGTTTAAGGTTTTAGGTCTAATATTTCACTCTGGGTTTTCTTTTTAAGGTATGGATTGTCTATATGTATGTATGTATTTATTTCTATTTGGTCAATGGAATGCCACAACTTCCAGCGCTCTCTAACTTACCAGTTCAGCTGTCTCTGGAATTACACATGCAAGGCACAAAGACCCTCCCTTCTTTAATGTGCTAGGTTTCATTGCATCTCTGGTGTCAACTCCCATCAAGGGCCTGTGTTGATTCTAGGTTTCTCAGTAACATTTAGCTAAAGCACCTTCCTCCATCCCTCGTCTCAATTGGTTTTAAAAACCTTAAAATGACATTCTGAATGGCCATGTCGTTGAATCCAGTGGATTCAGATAAAGAAGAAAGCCTCACTTAGTGTTCTTTCTCTCTAAAGTCCCTGGTCTATGGGGTCCTAAAAACAAAGGAAACATGAATTCAACTGGAACTCTCCTGGTTACTTTCATCAGTGGGAGTACAATCTTGTCCTAGAGCAAAGAGCCACTTGTACATGTCACACACACTGAACTCTGCTATCTACACCCTGGCGTGGAGGGTGGGGAAGGAACTATGTGCTGACTCCACAGCCAGCCTCCTGCATTTAGTAAGCATGGAATATGTTAGGTATTGCTGTGCTTCCATTTTAATATTTGATTGTCCCTTTGCGTTCATGTTGTTTTTTCTTTGGGAGAGGATATAGCAGCAGGATATAGCTGTCATAAAATATGGTTGATGAAATATGGTTATTCACTTCCTAGGACAATGAAAGGTTTGTGAACCCACTAACAATTACTATAGGCAAACAATAGAAATCCTTCTCCAAAGGCTTCAGGTGGCTTTCCCAGAGCAATTGGTTTGTTGTCATTCATTCTGCTTCCTGGGATTGCAGATAATTTCTGTCTACACAGAGGCAAAAGGGATTCATAAGGGATAATTGCAAAAAGGACACCTTGCACACTCTCTATTTCACAAACAGTAGTTTTGACCCCCAACTCCCATTGTGGGATGCCAGGATCTGGTGGGCTAGGCTGTTCTTGCCTAGACTAGTACAGCTCACCCCTACATTTACTTTGCTCTGAGTTCCTTCCTAGTTTTTCCTCAGCCTTCAAGGGTAAGGACATGTGATAGACAAAGGAATCAATACAAAAGTACATTGTGTTATGAGATTCATTAATTCATTCATTCAACAAATGTTTACTGATGATCTACTCTGTGCCATCACTGCACAAGACTGGAAAGCCTACAAATCCCCTGCCTTTTTGGAGACTGTATTCTAATGAGCGTGTGTTAGTGGAGGGGAAAGACAATAAACAAAAGGTTTTTGTCAGGTAGGAATAAGATGAGAGAAAGGACTGGGGAGAACTGTTTGACATAGAACAGTCAAGGAAGGCTTCTCTGTTACGGTGATTTTTTAAAAATTGGGGTACAGTTGCTTTACACTGTTGTGTTAGTTTCTGTACAAAGTGAATCAACGATATGTATACATATATCCCCTCACTCTTGGACCTCCCTCCCACTGCCTCTCATCCCACCCATCTAGATCACCATAGAGCACCAAGCTGAGCTCACTGTGCTATACAGCAAGTTCCCACTAGCTATCTATTTTACACATAGTAGTGTATATATGTCAACCTTAATCTCCCAATTCATGCCAACCCCCCATTCCCCCACTGTGTCCAACGTCGGTTTTCTATGTCTGCATCTTTATTCCTGCCCTGCAAATTGGTTCATATGTATCATTTTTCTAGATTCCACATATAGGCATTAACATACAATATTTGTTTATCTCTTTCTGAATGACTTCATTCCATATGACAGTCTCTAGGTCCATCCACATCTCTACAAATAACCCAATTTCGTTCATTTTTATGGCTGAGTAATATTCCAATGTATGTATTTACCACATCTTCTTTATCCATTCATCTATTGGTGGATATTTATGTAGCTTCCATGTCCTGACTATTGTAAATAGTGCTGCAATGAACATTGGGGTAAATGTGTCTTTTTGAATTATGGTTTTCTCAAGGTATATACCTAGTAGTGGGATTGCTGGGTCATATGGTAGTTCTATTTTTAGTTTTGTAAGGAACCTCTATATTGTTCACCAGAGTGGCTCTATCAATTTATATTCCCACCAACAGTGCAAGAGGGTTCCCTTTTCTCCACACCTTCTCCAGCATTTATTGTTTGTAGATATTATGATGATGGCCATTCTGATTGTTGTGAGGTGATAACTCATTGTAGTTTTGAGTTGCATTTCTCTAATGATTAGCGATGTTGAGCATCCTTTCATGTGATTTTTGGCAATCTGTATATCTTCTTTAGAGAAATGTCTATTTAGGTCTTCTGCCCATTTTTGGATTGGTTGTTTGCTTTTTTGATATTGAGCTGCATGAGCTCTTTGTATACTTTGGAGATTAATCCCTTGTCAGTTGCTTCATTTGCAAATATTTTCTCCCATTCTGAGTGTTACCTTTTTGTCTCGTTTATGATTTTGATTGCTGTGCAAAAGTTTTTAAGTTTAATTAGGTGCCATTTATTTAGTTTTGTTTTTATTTCCATTACTGTAGGAGATGGATCAAAAAAGATCTTGCTGTGATTTATGTCAAAGACTGTTTTTCCTGTGTTTTCCTCTAAGAGTTTTATAGAGTCCAGTCTTACATTTAGGTCTTTAATCCATTTTGAGTTTATTTTTGTGTATAGTGTTAGGGAGTGTTCTAATTTCATTCTTTTCCATGTAGCTGGGCAGTTTTCCCAGCACCACTTATTGAAGCATCTGTCTTTTCTCCATTGTATATCCTTGCTTCCTTTGTCATAGATTAGGTGTCCATTGGTGCATGGGTTTATCTCTGGGCTTTCTATCCTGTACCATTGATTAATATTTCTGTTTTTGTACCAGTACCATACTGTCTTGATTACTGTAGCTTTGTAGTATAGTCTGAAGTCAGGGAGCCTGCTTTCCCCAGCTTTGGTTTTCTTTCTCAAGATTACTTTGCCATTCGGGGTATTTTGTGTTTCCATACAAATTGTGAAATGTTTTGTTCTAATTCTATGAAAAATGCCATTGGTACTTTGATGGGGATTGCACTGAATCTGTAGGTTGCTTTGGGTAGGATATTCATTTTCACAATATTGATTCTTCCAATCCAAGAACATGGTATATCTCTCCCTCTGTTTTTGTCACCTTTGATTTCTTTCATCAGTGTTTTATAGTTTTCTGAGTACAGGTTTTTGCCTCCTTAGGTAGGTTTATTCCAAGGTATTTTATTATTTTGTTGCAGTGGTAAATGGGAGTGTTTCCTTAACTTTTCTTTCAGATTTTTCATCATTAGTGTATAGGAATGCAAGACATTTCTGTGCATTAATTTTGTACCCTGCTACTTTACCAAATGCATTGATTAGCTCTACTAGTTTTCTGGTAGCATCTTTAGGATTCTCTATTTATCATGTCATCTACAAACAGTGACAGTTTTACTTCTTTTCCAATTTGGATTCCTTTTATTTATTTTTCTTCTCTGATTGCCATGACTAGGACTTCCATAACTATGGTGAATAATAGTGGTAAGAGTGGACATCCTTGTTTTGTTCCTGATCTTAGAGGAAATGCTTTCAGTTTTTCACCATTGAGAATGATGTTGGCTGTGGGTTTGTCATATATGGCCTTTATTATGTTGAGGTATGTTCCCTCTGTGCCCA